TGCTGCTGAGGGGCCCTGCAGGCAGAGGCTGCGCTGCCTGCGCTCGCCCACATCCTTTTAGAGGCCGGACACTGGGAGAAGGTGGAAAGTTGGGGTCACAGAGCAGCAGAGTGAAAGAAAACCCAGCCTCGACGCTGCGTGATGGTATTTGTTTTATTGGAGATGCAAGTTAAAAATCAGAATGTATCTATCCCAAAAAGTAGTAAAAAAAATTAGTAGACAAATATTTCTTAGTGACAGATTAATACTTTTCTCAAGATTTTTATCAAAATATATTAACTTTGTTTATGAACTGTGTTACTCTAAGTAACAGTAGGTTAGTGACATAAAATCAACGGGTGTATGTATCTGTGGGTATATGTAGTAGCAGAGTCTTTAGGTGGAGCTCTAGAACATGAGTCTTGCAGCTGAAGAAACGACAGGAATTAATTCTGGACCAAAACAGACCAGTGAAAGCTCCCCAGTTCACTGTTGTGTGACTTGCGCAGGAAGACTATCGCAGCTCCAGGTCTACTAACACAAGGATTTTCTCATTTAATACATATACAGAAAGCTGACAGTCTCTCTTAAAAATTTGCTCCCCTTTCGTGTAAGATCCCAGCAGCAGATCCAGACTCCATCCCAGAGCCATCTTCGAGCCCCTGATTCTCCGACGCACAGAAGTGTTTCACTTTCAGAGGGTGACCAGAAAGCCAAGTGAGGCGCATGTGACATGAAATAATTTCCTGGAGAACAGATTTAAAAAGACACATCTTTTGTGATCTTCATACTGGTTCTGTGTTGGTAAAGGGAGGTATTACACGCGTATTCTTTCTTACCTGTGTTGGAGTTTCATGGAGTAGGACAGTGTAGTCAAACTCGATGAAATCATCTTTCCTTATCTGGACGTGTATCAAAGAGAAAAAAATGATCAAGAACACAAGTTATATTGCTGAACTTTAGAATCTGCTCTGATGTACTTAGCGACGTTTAGCTTGCTGAGGGAGCGGGATGAGCAGGGCTTGAAACGGCTGTGGCGGCTGGCTGGAGCCAGGTGGAGAGATGGGGAGTTGGGAGCCCTTCCTGCATGAAAACTCTGAAGGCGCTAACCGCAGTCTGTTCTCTGAGATGAAACCAGGCTGGCTGGGACGCTGATTAATGGAGTTAACCCTCAAATAAATTTGAGAATCTTACCTGACTATTTATCTCTCCTTCAGAGAAATCTCATTCTGAGTAACTTGGGAGTGAAAACCAAGCGCTGTGTATCAACCAGAGATGATCGAGAGAAGCAAAGCTCTGGGCACTCCTGTTCTATAAGCACAGGTGTGAGGTACGATCCCCAGAGCACGTGCGGCGGACGCTAGGATGGTGCTACCTTGGAGCTTGGCTAGGAGGGCAAAGAGCACGAGGAGCCACATGGCATGGAGGACCAGATGTTCAAATCTCCCCATTAAACCTGCAGAAGCCAACAGATCCATTCATGCAAGCAAGGAAAGCCAATTTTTCTCCAAATGAGTAAAATTATTCCACCAAAACCTGGACAAAATACTTGTCCAGAGGTGGAGATACTTGTACAGAGAAGCCACTGGGATGCCAAAAGGCAGAATCACACCCATTGTAGAGCGTGCGAGCTGTGTTGATGGTTGTTCTGTTCCTTGCTGCTTGGTAGACTCCGTTAGCTTCTGTAATGCAGACATGTAATTTTCTCTTTGCTTACCCACTGTCTCGCAGACCTGACTTGGGCCATGAAGTAACCCACGGTCTCTGTTGACTTCTCCCACATGATGTAACTGCTGCCAGCAACAGCCAAGGCCCAGACAGGCTCCAGGGCAGGCTCAATATTGCCATAGCTGTCTGCAGGGGAGAGAGAGAGCAACGTAAGTGATTCATTCTGCCTGTTCAGCAGAAAAATGACAAACCACAGAACGCTTTTGCATCTTCTCTCAGATGCATTCTGGTCTTGAACAGGGGGGAGAATGATGCTAAACCTGCGGTCACAGAGGGTGAAAGAGTGACAGAACTGAAGTCACCGAGAGACGCAATTCACAGCGTCCCCGCAGAGAGGGGACAAACCCTGTGCCCGTGATAACGGGGGTCAGTACCGAGCCGGCAGGAGGAGAGGGACTGGGGTGCTGTTTCAGGGATGGAAAAATTCTGTTAGTCATCCTGTGTGAACTTCCACCTGCAGCTGGGGAAGGCGTGTGGGCTAAGGCAGTTGGTACTACCTGGGGACGTTTACTAGAACATAAAATCACATAGGCTTGCTTTTAACCCCAAAACGCCTTCACAACATTGCATTGGCTACCACTGTTGCTTTTTTCTGCCCAAGAATCGCTGGCAAGATGGAATTGTTTTGATAGTTAGCTCTATGGTTTTAGGGTGCTACTGTAAACATCCGTGCCTCCTTTTTAAAATGCTTGTGTTCTTAAAAGTGCCTAGACTCTAAGATAAAACAACATACGACTGATTATCTGGAGGAGCATACCTGGAATATTGTTTCCAATTATTGGTTTGGTCTGGTGCCTAAGTTTTTGGTAAAGTCTGTTGTCCTCTTCTTGGATTTGCTTCTGGTCTTTGGTATGCATGCACTTGATATTGACAACAGGCGGAGACTTCGTCCTCGGATACAACACTGTAGCGAGGCAGCTCCCGGCATTTTCCTGTAAAGGTTGAAATTAAAACTGTTACCTTTAATCAAGATGTTATTTACCAGCAACGCATTCTTAAAAAAGCTCTTGGTACTAACATGTGAAGTATACATGTGGAGTATGTATGTGTCTTTGTGAGATGCTTTGTATGAAGCTGTACAGGGTCAAGAAAGTCTTTAGATGGATATAATTTTTTTTCCAGACAAGTAAATACATCAAAACCACAAGGCTAAAGGGATTTAACAGAAGTTTCTAATTAAAATGGAGCAGAAATGCACTAAGTCATCTTGTAAATATGTTTGAGAGTTTTCAAGAAATAATTGATAACAGGAAATTTCATTGTATGATACTTCAGCCTTGAAACAAAAATAATCTAGTGCTTCATATTCTGAAATAATTTGAATGTCATAAAATGTGTGTGTAATGGAGAAGCAGATGCTTACAGTAAAATTGCTAATGACAACTGACAGAACAAAGTGGGGGTTATAATTAAAGAGAACACACAACTGTCAGCTCTTTATTCTCCTTTTGGTGTGTGGACACAGCAGGAGCTAGTCGGACAATGAGGACCACACTGTCGCACCAAGTTTGGACCACGGCAAAGCTTCACTCAGGCGCTTGGTTGCCTGCTGTGACTTAGAGACAATCCCTTCAGGCACCAAGCGAAGCAGAGCTACGGCACTCCGACCCTGACCAGCTGCGATACTCGGGCAATGCCAAGGGCAAAGCATGCCCCGTGCGGGACAGGCAGGTGGAAGCATAAAGGTAAGTCTTTCCACATAAATATACCCTGTTTTGAGGATGCTGAAGTTCATTTAACGCACGCTGTCAGAAGAAACGCGGAGGGCCATAAACTCACCCCGCTTTTGTAGTCCTCGGTAGTGAAGTGCAGGTAGTACTTGTGACCGGAGCCTGGGATGCTCTGGAAGAGAGAAGGGTGTGGCTGTCAGTGCAGCTATGGCCTTGCCCACTGCAGCCTGCTGAGGTGTTGGTGTGAGCACTGCGGAGCGAGATGAGGGCACTGCGGCTACCTCGCGGCCCTGCAGCATCAGGAAATGGTCAGGTGAGACGCGTCGAGGAGAGCCGAGCACCAAACACAAAGGGTCTTGACAACAATAACAATAAATAACCTTTATATTAGGGGATGTTTTAAAGCCTTTCCTCCCAGAGACACACAAGAGGGAAAATGCAGCTCAAAGTCCTTCACAGGACAGATTGATACAGAGTAACTTTGTAAATAATAAAATTACAAATCAGCATTCAGCTTCCGGGGAGGTGTTTTTCGCCCAGGCTGTCAGAGTGCCCTTCAATATATAAATGAATCAAATCTCGCTGACTGATGCACAGCTAAACAGGAATTACTCAGGCTAATTTAATCTTAGGGATGCTAACCCTTCCAGATTTTTTCCTACTGTGACTGGAAAGAGACTAATTTCGCCACACAGCATGTCAGCACTGGATTCTGCTCTGTTTTGCTCTGAAAATGCCAGTCATTAAGTGGCTCAGTCAACTATCCGAGATTCTGCTTATTAAGGAAAAATGAAGGCACCCTCCGTGCTGACGGGAAGCAGCCAGTAGCACCTCTTGTAGCACAAAACATCAAAATAGCCTCACTGTGAAGCGGCAAGAGGGGATTTCACAAAAGCAGAGCAAGCCGCTAAACCAATTTTGTCCTCTTCTCTGCAGCGTATAACTCTGTATGTACTAAAGGCAGGTGCTGGGCTGAAGGCTTTGCCCTGGGAATGAAACTTTGCGAACATGACTGCACGCTCCCAGTTACAGCATCGGGGGGTTTAGAGCCTGTAATGGAAGCTTTTTTTCTAGTTAAGCCGGATCTTTTGTCCAGCACGTTCAGTCATTTAAAGTATGTTCAACTGTCTTCCAATATTATTTGTTCTTGCATTGGTGTCACCTGTTCTCTCTGCTAAAGAAAAGATCATTTTTATAGCTGTGATAACTTTGAGAACAGTAATCAGGTTCCGACAAAATCTCTCAGCAGCTTCATTGCATTTTTTTTATATCGAGTGCTAACGAAGAAAACAGGATCAATTGGGACTTGGTTTATAAACTAATCATTCAGTCTCTGATTCTTCTAAATAGAAGGCTACAGAAAAGCTGCACGAGTAATGACTTGGTAAATACTCACTTTAAAAAGAATACAGAATTCTGTGCTTATGTGGGTTTTGAAGTAGATAGTTTCTCCTCGTTTGCAACAGCTCCACCATAGCAGTACTACTCACCTAGAAAGCTTTGCAGTGGTGCTACCCAGTTAAAACACATATTCAATCCAGGTATGCATACCAGAGGGCTTCTTTGATCTTACCAGGGAGAGGGAAAAGGTACATTTGGCATGAAATAGTTTTAACTGCTAGAAAAGTATTTCTGGTTTCAGAGAAAAACATCACTTTTGTTTCCACTGTTACTTTCCACTGCCATCCCAAAATGCATCGCTGTAAACCATCACACAGTGCGAGTTAAATAAGAGCTCAGGAATATTTAATGTCATGCAACAACAGCTGGCTGAAAGCAGCCAAAGCAAAAAGTGTCCCAAAGAGAAGAAAACAAGTGAGTAATTCATTTTTCCACTGAATATCTGGGTCACGGGATTGTTTTATTTCCGGGCTCAAAATTAATGCAGCTTTCATGACAGACTTTTCGTACTGTAAAGGCCAGAATAGCAATTTAAGAGCAGCTCATTCCAGGTCCCGAAGGAGGCAGTTTCACAATTGATTTCCACTGCTCTAACTCCCCACTGGCATGGAAAGGGGTGATCCCCCTTCACCCCTTGCCACAGGCTTCCATCTCTTCTCCTCGGCGTCTCCCCACCAGTGCTTCTTCCCTGGGACCAGTTTTCGGTCACTGGATCAGAGGGCTGACCCAATCACTGAGCAGGGAGAAGCCAGCACTGCCGAGAGAGGAGCGAGAGACGGGTCTGTCGGGGGTCTTGCCTCGGGGGATTCCCACCTCGCAGCCCTGCCATGGTCCCCGCAAGCCAGTTTGGGTGGGCTGTGGCTGCTGGAGCTGCTGGAGGTGTCTGGTGTGCAAGCGGGCAGGCGAGCTCTTGGGCTGCCCCAGGCAGCAGGGCAAAGCCAGCAGCGGTGGCTGTTTTCTCTGCCTCTCTGTATCTAGCTTTCTCTCGACAATTTACCTACCCTGCCACTGATTTTACCTTCCCCACCCTAACGTGGGGTCCTGACTACTGGAAAGAAGTAGACACCTTTTAATTGACTTCTAATATTAGGACCATAGTCCTGATATTACACTTTTGTTTCAAGATGAGCTTGTGAAGAGGAATCTTCACCTGTAACATTGCGTTTTGTAGTCCAGTTTAAGCAAACGTTGCCGTTTAGCCAAGAGATTACCTAGTTTACCTTTACACTTCTCCTCCTGGTTCACCTGCCTACTTGCTCAGTTACGCTTTGCAGAACAGCTTGGTATGGGAGATCGCTACTGCAGTGTTCTGAAAGGTTCTCTCTTGAATTCTAGGAACTTCAGTTGGCACACACTAATGCTTTTCTTCTCAAAAATATATTTTAAAGTGCAGCTGTCAACAACCCCATGAGATGCATGCTGCTGTTTCCTAGAAGATACTCACTTAAGTTATGAAAAACCCCACATCAATGAGAAGGAGCAACAAAAAGAAAAGTGCAGCCAATGGCAAGGTAGGAATTGTTCTGTGTTTGGTGTATCTCTACTGTTTGTTGCTAGGAGAGAAAAGCACTGAGAGAAAACGCACATTTTACCTGAACTTGAAAAATCCTTTACATCTAACAGCGTTACCGTACTGGTGACTGTCTCTGATCCTGTTTCTGATTCCCACAGTTTCATTGGCTAGTGGGCTAATGATGTTACGTTTTAAAATACAGTGCTCATGATTAAATTCCATGATAAAATTATCCTGTTTTTAATAGATCCAGTAATATACTAACCATTAGAAAATTAACCTTCTTAAAAAACTTAAAAGAACAAAAACCAACCAACCAACCAACCAAAAGCCCCCAAACCCCAACATTTCTGTCTCTTGCATTCACATAATATAGCGCATTCCTTCCAGGAAATTCTTCTCATTTTTTTACAGTGGAGGACAAGAAAGAAGGAAGTGACCATGTCTAGTACATTTCTCCTCTTGTTTTCACAGAGTGTGCAAAGAAAGAGGGGAAATAAACTGCAGAAAGGGGGTTACAGCAAGCTCCTACAGGATCAGTACTGTGAGGAAATAATGAAGCATTTCACTGCTCTTTAGTGAACCAGTTTTTTCTTTCCTATATTAAAAGGCAGGTGGCTGACACATGGTGGAAAAAAAATCCCTTTCCCTCCACAGAACCAAAACTACCTCGCGAATACTCAGTTACACTGGGATTGGAAAGAGGACCTGCACCAGCCCCTTACTTCTGAAATGCCTCTTCACCTGACCAGTTCTTCCAACAGCACACCCTGCTCCCAGGGGCCACGGTGCTGTCCTGAAAAGAGGCAGGAGCATTTGTATATATAAATATATACGTAGGCACACTACCCAATAAATGCAGAAGAGCACTTGTAGGTTTCGAGAGAAGTATCAGATACCACGGTAAATACCTGCCATAGGTGTCTGCAGCAATTACACTGGAAGAATGCAAGGTCGCACTAGCCCGCCCATGCTCAGCACCTGTTAAACTCTGTGGTTAGTGGCGCATTTGGGAATGATGATTAGAACAGCGTTACCTAAAGGGTGCGGTCTCAGATAAATCTACAGCAGGACATCATGTCTGCATCCCCGAACAGGTAGCACGACAAACGCTGTCTTTCAGCCTTGCCTCACACAAAGTAATACACAAATTCTGAATCATGATGCAGTAGTTCATGTTTTGACAAATTTAATTGGAAATTATTCTGGTCTGCTAAATATCGTGTGCAACTTAAACAGGCTTCAAATTGTTTTGGAACCACTGTCAGCTGGGATATATGTGAAAGACTGAGGGTCAAGCACAATGTTGTAAGGACCGCAGCGGTACATCCTAAGCACTTTTGGCTTGGAACTTCTTTCTTGAAAGGGAAGATTTTACACTACACCATCTTATTCTCAATTTTAGGAGTGAGGGCCTGGACTGAACGAGCCATGCAGATGCTGAAGGACAAATACTGTAAGATCTCCTTTTCAGATGCAGGAGCCATGAAAAGGATGTGGTGGAATCCAGTGCTGCGTTTGGCACTTCAGACTGGGAATCCAAGACAACCAGCCGTGGCTTAGGCGAGCTGCCCAGCACTAGCCTGGAGAGAGAGACTAGACAAGAGGTTTTAAACCCCATCCGCTGCGATAGCTTAGACCCTCCTTCGCTCTCCAGGAAGGTGATGCTTTCCTTCCAGGGTCTACAGCCTCGAACCAACGCTCCCCAAAAGTTTTTGCCTGTTCTCTTACTTTCAGAAACCGAGTGAGCTGTAAAAAAACCTGTGGCTGAAGGGAGCGCGGGGCTGCATGGCTCAGAGCTTGCAGGACACCAGACATGCCCCTGGCACTGCCTCAAGCACCCCGGGCCAGCTCCCCACCACACGAGAGCTCTGCCCCTGCGGACTCCCGCCCCGTCCTGTCACCTCAGTTTGACCTGCTTTTTGGACAGTAAAGCCATGTTTTCTGATGGGGACAGCATTGCTTTTAGTTGTAGCTCTCGGTCTGCAAAGGTAGCAAGGCAAAGCCCTCTCCGTCCCCACTCCCACGAAGCAGACGGTCGCTCCAGAAGCGATTCTGCTGGGAAGCTTTCCTCATCGAAGCGCGTTCTTCCATCAGGTGCCTGCTGCACGCCTCGGTTTTCTCTATCCCCCGTGCTGCTTTTCACTCCAGGCCGGGGCATGCGGGGTAACCTTGGCCAACAGACGCTGGCCTTGGATTTGGGAGTATTTAAATCGCGATTAAGTTGATGAATTTATGAGGTGGAGCCTCGCCGGCTCCTGAGGGAGAGCTCCCTGAGGGAAGCGGCGCGGCGGGAAGCGCTCACCTCAGGGCGGCTCAGCTCCGCACCGCTCCGCCGTCCTACTCCCGTGATAATAATTACAATCACTGTCCTTTCCCCAGCGTCACCTCAAAACCCGAGCCTCCCCCCCCGCCCTGTACCTTCAGCGTGGCCTTGCGGACCTGCCCC